GCAAATCCTTTGTCCAAATATATTTTCTACAAATACATATATATGTATATATAGAGGCAGTTGTGGAACAATTACCTAACGGGCAACAAGCACTTAAATCAACAGAAACGGGAATGGGAACAGGAACGGGAACGGGAACGTGAGCTGGAACTGGAGCTGGAGCTGGAGTAGTTTGTGGCAGGATTGTCGCTGTGACTCCGACGCTGCGGACTCGTAGCTGAGCAAATAAACAATTAAAATGTCACAATGACGTCGCCGTCGTCGAACCCGTGTCAGAAAACCACGAAAAATCGTGTAAACATTTCGAAACCCCAAAGGGAAAAGAACGCGCAGAACGACTCAAAGACTTCTCTCAGTTTTTTTTGTGTTTTGTATTTTGTGTTTGCCGAAAAGCGCATTTCGCATTTCGCATTTCGCATTTGGCAACCACGTGACAAGGACTCAGCACAAGACATGCCATCCTTCGCAAGAGTCAACAAAGGCGCAGAGCCAAACGAGGCGGGCGATGCGTGGGCACATCAGAAATCCCAATTAAAAATTGAAAAGCGCGCGAATTGACTTCAAGTTGCGGCCACCATGCTGAGTAGTCCTTGGACGTGGCAGCAACTGCCGCTCAGATTCTGCTCTCAGACTGCTGCCTGCTGCGTCTGTCTGTGACATTAACAATTGATGCACAACTGCCTGATAGAGTTCCCGCGCGCTTAGCTAACGGCCAAGACACTTTCCCTTTTGCTTAACACACCTGCACACACGCACACCTAGCTTCGAGCTTCTTCAAGCATGGCCTGCAGCTAGCCTCGCAGACTTTCGAGTGACAGGTATTTTGTTAGCACAACCATGAAAGTTCCTTGTGCCTAATAAACTATGCTTAGCTACTAAATAAACTATAAGAAGAAGAGTGTAAAATTTGTAGTCATTTCTTTGAACAAACTCAACAATATATATAACAAAACATTCGAAAGCTAAGGACAAAACAAAGCAATGAAAATTACACAAATTAAATTGAAGCAATTTGAAATAGTTGCAATTTTCATAGTTATATCTTCAAACTAGGCTTCATATTCAGTGAGCTCTGCAGGCTGCACTGCGGCACGAAGTAGGTCAAGTGAAATCGCAGTGCTGCTGGCATCATCAATTGGAGAGCAAATTGCAAACAGCAATGTCTAACGATGTAGCTACCATATATATGATCGGATGAAAAGGATTTAAATAACTATCTTTAGCTGATTTTATCTGCACAAAACTGATCTCTATCTGCACAAAACTGAAATATACTAATATATAAATGATTCAATGGAAATCTAAGACTGCTCCTTATTACTAACAAACTTGAGCTGCTAAAGAATAAACCAGATCTAAGTTATTTTAAGTTTAAGCATCCTGCAGCATCCCACAAAGCGTTCGTACACAGAGCAACACAGCTTGAAAGGAAGTTATACCTAAACTCTATTAAAATATAAATAATATTCCCTTTTCTATGTAACAAAATAGCGTATAAATTATATAATTTATTGAGTTGATTAATTCAGCTTTTCATCAAAATACCCCAAAAAAATACCCCAAAATCAAATTTATTGAATTGATTAATTCAGATTTTCATCAAAGTACTAAAACAAAAAAAAAAAAACAATTTAATATATAACATATTTTTCGCTTATACATATATAAAGGATATTTGGGTTTATTTGCTTAGCACAAAAATCCATTAAAATTTAGCTAAACAAGAACAAGAAGATAAACAAAATGTTGAGACTCACGCAGCCAAGTTGTAGAGATGTTCTTACGATGTTTGTTCCGTTAATTAAAATCCGTTTTTGATGTCTTTGCTTAAGTCAGTATTCGAAATTAAATAACAGAAACGACTTCAAAGCGTTTTTCAGGTTCGCCCCTAAAATATTTGGTCCTAGACCTAATCAATCCACTCACTGCTGGAGGTCATTTTGTATTTTCTTATGCGAATCTCTACAAAATGCACATACACACTGAACGAGAGCGAGCGAGCGAGAAAGAGAGTGAGAAACACACACAGAGATACGCGCGCGTGCCTACAGTTAGGTGAAAGCTGTCGTCCGTTTAATGTGCACTGAAGAAGCCCGCAGAAGAAGGAACCATGCAATTGCGACCGAGCGTCGAAGACGTCAATTTCGTAATGTAAATATTTTATTTATGAGCCAAAGTAAGTTAAGGCAAACAGCAAAAAAGTGAACTCGCATATCAACATGGTGGTTGGTTGGGCTCTAAATGGCAATGTCCGTTTTCCGTTGCTTTTCTCGGCATTGCCTCACCTACGCATTCGCAGCCTTATTATGTTTCAATTTGCCGACGGGCTTCAATCGTCGATTTCAAACTTAAATGGATGGCATGCGCGCGTTCATGCTTTCTCGCTCTTACGTGACGACCAACTACCGTTATGGCTGGCAGAGGCGAAATCGCAAAAATGAAACAAATACGAGAGTAGCGAGCGCACACAAACGTCATTATCATTATTAATCAACATCATTACACGACGCCTCTCTTTCGCTCTCGTTAGCACCAATTGGACAACGCCAGCCGCGTTCCCTAGTCATACAATTTGAGGGCTGTTTCTGAGCGAGTCCCAGCAATATGTCTCTTGTATATTGAGTGTATGTGTGTGTAATATTAACGCCATAGCTGTAGTTTTGTATGAGAGTATGTATGTTTGTATATGTTTGACAGCTGCAGTATCTGCGGACTGTCCTTTTTCTAAGCTGTGTGTGCCCCTACGTCGGCCCACACCCTAGACGAGTACATATTTGTACTGCAATTTGGCGGCGCACGTTCCTCTTATGATTTGCCTCTTTTTGCATTCTCATTTATGTTTGAGTTTTTCTTCTTTTTTTTGGGTGCCCCCTGTTAGGTTAACCTACCAAGCCCCGCTGCGCTATTATCGAGAGAGAGTGAGACGGAGAGTGCGTGCTGAAGGAATGTAAAAAACTGTAAAACGTATGTGTGTATGTAAATACGTGCTCGATACACATGTATGTATTTATGTATGTGAAGAGTATGTCATAGTTGGCCTTTACATACAAACATAATTACGCATGTATATGCATTTGAAACGGATATGAATTGCTGTGCACCCTGGGAGATTTTGCAATCAAGTAATTACTGTAATTAGGATGGATGGAAAATGTCTGATACGCAGTCAAAAATTCCCATGGTACCAATACTTTTCACATGTTTATATGTAAAATAACAGTCATATACAAATATATATTATACATAAAGTCTAGTCTCTTCAATATTTACATATCAAACATTATATAAAAACTGTTCCAGTTAAGACTATAAAATGTTCAGCGCTGCTATCTTACATATATATTCACTTGAGCAATTCTATATTATTTACATATGTATGTATGTGTGTATGTATGTATGTGCTTATGTGTATGTGTGCACATTACAACGAAATGAGCGAGCAAAACGGCAACGCCGACAACAAAATGACAGCGGGCCAGGTGAGTGGAAGGCGCTGCAAAAGCTCAACGCGTAAATAAATAGAGACCATACATACATACATACGTATGTATGTGTATGCATATGTATGTGTATGTGTGTGTGCTTGTGCACTTTGTCAACAGCTACTAAAACAGCAAAGAACTTCATAATGAGCGCTGGCGCATGTGGGCGTGTTGTCGCTGGCAGCGCATGCGTCTGTTGTTGTAGCATCCATTTTGCATTTAAATGGTGGGTGTGGTTTCACTCACACAAACACACATACTCGACAGCAAGCAGTCGCTCACACACACATACACGCGCGTCAGCCAGCCACACATTGAACGGTTCCAAAAAAAAACACTTGATTAGCTCGTTCTTTTCATTTCAACATTCGCACTCGTATCCTATGTCACTATCTGTCTCGCTCTCACTCTCACTCTCTCTGCTGTGTGTCTGTTGCTACATTATGCACAAAGTATTAAAATTCAACAGGCAACAAAAAATTACATGCACACACATGTGTGGATATATGGTTGTGTGTATATGTGTATGGCGTCTTGCTGGTATTAAGTGTAGATACATTTTGTCTTTTGCATAGAAATGTATCTTTTTAATTGCTTTTACACACTTTGCACGCAAAAAACTTTTACTTTCAATTTAATAAATTGTCTTAGCAAAAATAAGAACTAAGATTAGTAAAAAACTAAATTAGATATTTGTTTAGGTGTTTAAAATATTTAATTATGTTTTACTTAGGGTAAAGGCAGAGAAAGGCATTTTCAACACCAGTAATGATGCATTCCAAATTATATATCTATGCATCTAACATTTCATTTTAATTTTTCTTTTGGTTTAATTTAAATATATCATTATTTATTTATAATTTAATTATAGATGACTTTCAAACATAACTTAAACTAATTGCATTTAATATTCGTTTACGGGGTAAAACGAGTATATTAGATAAGGTAAAGTGTTTTTCAAATAAGTTTAATTTAATATTATACAGTTGGATGCGCCCGACTTGTTTTCCACGTGGTTTATCAGCTTGAATAGATTTTCCAAAAACTGTACCAAGAACTTAGCAGTTACAGTTAGCTTTGACAGTTAAGTGACAGCTATCAACTTAATGATTTTCGTTTATTTTTTATTCACCACATTTCAGGTAAATTCCCAAATGCACATTAGTTGCGCATCACCGCCTCACCTTTGTTCGATTCTGACACAATATGTCAGTAAATATTTTGTATGTGTGTCGAATTCCCTTCATTTGACAATTTTTATTATACACATTCATAAAATGTATCAATTTGGTTTATAATTCAAAAAAAATTTTTAAAAGGCGCGCCCCGTTTACAAATTAATCGAATAATTGTACTGAAATTACATTGAACTGTAAATTGTCATAGGTATTTGTATGGCATTTACTAATAGTGACTGTTCAATACCAAATACTTAAAAGATAATAAAATGTGTATTTAATTTGGAGTTATATGCTTAATATGAAGATTTACTGACATTTATAAATATCACAATTTTTCTTTAGTATTTAGACATATATCTAGTATTTTTGGTATTATCGTAGATATTTTATGCTGCCACACTGTTAAGTAAAGACACGTAAATCAACAATTGGAAGTGAAAGACTGTTTTGCAAAATCAAAGACAATTTATATTTATATTAAGGAACATGGATGCTGGGACATGGTACAGATCGTTACCACGCTTCACACGGTACTGGCTAACGGCCACCGTTGGCTTGAGCCTGCTCTGCAGATTCGGTCTTCTGCCAATGGAATATATGTATCTATCCCGTGATCTGGTGCTAACCCGGTTTCAGCTGTGGCGGTGCATCACTTCCCTGTTCGTGTTTCCGTTGAGTGGAGCGACAGGCTTCCATTTTCTGATCAACTGCTACTTCATAACGCAGTACAGCAAGAATCTGGAGAAGGATCAATATGCGAGAAACCCCTCCGACTACCTATACCTATTGATAATTACGGCAGTGCTCGCCAATCTCGGTGGCATGGTATTCAATGTATACTTTCTGATGGACATGCTGGTCGTTGCAATCACCTATATATGGTGCCAATTGAACAAGGAGGTCATTGTTAGCTTTTGGTTCGGCAGTCGCTTCAAGGCCATGTACCTGCCCTGGGTGCTGGCAGGCATTGAGCTTATTTTCCATGGCTCCTTGGCCTCACTGGTGGGAATATTCAATGGACACGTTTATTACTTCCTCAAATTCCAATACCCACAGGAGCTGGGCGGCAATGCATTTCTCGAAACACCCGAATTTTTGTAAGTATAAAGTATCCAAATATAACTAACCGCGCAACATATGGAATCAGGCAACTAGAAAAAAATAACAAAAGAAAGTGCTGCAGGTCCCAGCCAACTTCGTATTTACTCGTGTCGCACGAGAGTCTAAGCATACGGTTCTGGCGGGTTGTATGCCGTACAGTATGATCGAGCGAGATGTCTAATGCCCCCACACAAAACACAATTTTTTTTGCCCACTCATTGCTCTCTTATGCAGCCACACTGCTCAGAGAACAGAGAGAGAGAGAGAGAGAGAGAGAGAGAGTTAACGTGCAGAAAGTATTCGCACACTTAGAAACGTTTAGACATATAATACTATTAATATGCCTGTGTGTGTAAGTTTTGTGTCTGCTGAAATTGCAATGAGAATAAGTTAATAAGAAGTACTGTATTGTAAGATCTGATTGGAACTCACACGATTGCGTGGGCCTAGGTAATAGAGTAAGCCGAGCAGATACGAGCTCGAACTGAACAAATTTGTTTAGTTTCTTATCAATATCCGATTTCATATGTTCTCTGATTGGTACTATAATTGATTCTAATATGAATTCTCATTTCTTTGCTGCAGAAAACGCATTGCTCCGGACGTATCAGGCGGCATAAGTGGCTTTGGTGTTCCGCCGGAGAGCAGAGCTCCACCTCCACGCCAGTCGGCCAACTCGGCCTGGGGTCAAGGCACGCCGTTGGGACGCAATTGAAACAGTTATGCTTAAGTTTAGTTAACGTACTATCTTTCTATCTATACAAATGGTTACATTGAAAAAACGAAACAAACAAAAAATTAACAATCAGATCGATCAACGTGCTGGAAACTCATCCTGTACTTTGCCTTGAGTTTACCATCTTTTAATTGATTGTACAGCATCATGTTAAGCGGCGGTATGGTATACAAATATACACAAAAGATAACAAAATTCTGAACACATTTGAATTATCTTTTTTTCCTAGTTAAGATAACTGAATTTTTGTGTTATCTGTTAACTACAGGGTACAAATTTTTTTTGTAACACCTCAAACTTTTAATCGTTTATACAAAAAACGTTTTCTTGATCAGAAAAATACACTGAACCCATATAGAGTGTAACACATTTTGTTATTGTAAATAAATGGATACTAGCATTATTAAAGGTTTGCATTACCCACCCACTCCGAAACGAGATTTTATGAAACTTGTATAATATATGTTTCGAACTCTCCAGCTAGCTTACTATATTAATAATTGTTAACTGCCATATTATTTATTTTCACAACAGGTTTTTAGGGTAGACGTCATAGGTGCGCGCAAATCTAGGTCAACTAAGGTTATCGACTCGATTAATTGATCTAAGCAAGCTGTGAAAACCTGCGCATAAGCAGATTACCTTTTTGAAGCCCAACGATATTGTTTTACAATATTTTTCTGACAATGACCAAAGTTTTCCGTTTTGAGATATGACACTTTTAGCTAAAATCTTTGGAATAGGAAGAGCTATTAGAAAGATCTTTATAAGATTTTTCTGGCATTAGCAGATCTCTAAAATACGCTAAATACACTAGAGTCCCTATTATAGAGCTTATCTGGTATAGAGTATATCTATGGAGGACTTCAAAGTTTTCATAAATTAATTTATAAGACCAAAGCAAACAGATTTAAATGAATAAATCAAACCCGAAAATAGGTCTCTCATTACCCCCATTAGATATAGTTTAAGGAAAAGAAAAGGAATTTGTTTTATGCTTACATTTATATTTATTTCATTTAAAATTTCTATGTTAAAAATTTTACAGCTGCACGCATTGTTCAACAATATTTGTTTAATTACATTTTGTTTTACCTTTTTGTGGTGGTTTCGCTTCGATTGCGGTTTTTTCTGTTTGTTTTATCTAAAAACTACATTGTTTATGTTTTTTAGATTTACAAAATCGATGCATAAAATACTTAAGAACTAAACTGCTCGTACGAAGTTATAAATGTCTATGTATATATTATATGTGTGTTTGTGTGTGTGTAGGATTTACTTTTTCTTCTTCTTTCTTTTTTTAACTTTTGTCCTTGTAGCTTATCTCTAATCTGCTCTTTACATGATACATATACATGAAATTATATGGCTTGTAGCATTTAAAAAATTCTTCAATTTAGTTTGTTGTTGCTTTTACTTAAGTATTTACATTTTGTATTTAAATCGGCCATATATGAACTAAAACTATAATCTCATTGAAACACACATTTTACTTATTACGAATTGATGTTTCTGTTCTCTGTTTTCATCTCTTGAAATATGCAATGAACTTAGCAAGTGACTAAAAACTAAATGAGCGAAATATGCTATTTACAATGTATACAAATATTTTATGATATTTCGATGGTGGCAGCTTGGAGAAGTTTAAATAATTATAAACAAGCTTCGAAAATTCGACTTTGTTTAAAATTAAATAATCGATATTCAAGCTTTTTTGTTTGTTTTTTTTTCTTTCTTTTTTTTACAAATATTTTTCAAATACATATACAAATAATTATAATGTTGCACTTTGATTAAAGAACTTGGTACTACTAAACTAATAACTGTATCCTAATTAAACCGGGCTGTATGTGTGTGTGTGTGGGTGTTTATATAGATGTCTGCTTGTGCGTACATGAACCAACCATAACAAAATAAACAATTAGAACACCGCGGACTACCTATGGCAGCGTCGATGTCTTTGCCAGCATCGTTGTTGTCGCTACAGCTGCTGTCCCTGTTGATTCTCCGGTTACCTGTTGATCCAGCTTTTTCTGCTCTTCCGCCAGTGGTGGCATTATAGTTGCTTTAAGAGATGTGGTGGTGCTGCTGCTGCTGGTGGTATTCATTGTCTCTGGCGATATGTTACTGGTACACTCAATCTCAATCGGCTGCTCTAGTTCCATGTCCACATACTCGATGGCACTGTCCACGTCGTCGTGCATTTCTATGACTAACAAAATACATGTTCGAGAATTCAAATGGCCAGATCTTGATGCACTGGTTACTTACTGCGATCTTTGAGCTGTGTGCTTGCATCGTCCATGTCCTCGCCTGTGTCCTCAACAATGACGTCATCCAACTGTTGCTTGTTGCTTTTCGTATCATTCGAAAATGTTGTTGTGGAGGCTGTTCCTGTTGCATTGGTGGCAGCTGCCGCTTTAGAAGCCTGATCCAGCTCCATTTCCCAGTCGGTGGCATTTAGCACCACCATCGGTGCCGACTTGGCAGACGTCTTCGTCTCTGCCGTACCATTATCTGCCACAATTATGGGCATGTTGATAATATCTATAGGCGTATCCTCTGTTATCAGCTGATGCGCCTTAGACTTTGCCAACGACGATTGCGGCGTAGCCGTCGGCGTTCCCGTGCCCGTACCCGTTGCCTGTGAACTATTGGCCGCATTGACTGACGTTGATGATCCAATGACGAGCACGTTGGGCTTAGCTGTCAGTAGTTCGCCGCTAGACTTTGGTTTGCTGGAGGCCAGAGTAACTGCGCGCATGCCGCTCGTGGGTAGAAATACCAAATTATTCTTGCCAACACCAGCCGGGCCGAGCGTCAATGTTGTGGGCTTAACCTTGGCGCCGCTGCTGGCAATGCTGGATGTGGAGACGACGCTGACGCTGCTTGTGCCGCCCGCGGCACTCGAGATCACTTGAGTGGGCGTCAACAGTTGCATTTTCTGTATCGTTATTCGTTGCTGTGACGACTGCGGCGAAGAGGGCGTGCCAACGCCCGTGGGCGAGACAGCAGCACTGCTCACAGTCACACCAGCAGCGCCAGCGGCCACATTCGTTGTATTCAGCTTGTGTATAATGCTGCCCGTATGCAGTTTGGCCGGTTGCAGGAATAGTTTTCCATTGGGCGAGCAGATTTTGATGTTGCGCAGTGCGCTGCTGGGCACATGCTTGATGCCGCTGGCACTTGTCAGCTTTATATTGCCCAATATTTGCGACGTTGACGCCACTGTGCCACTGCTGCTTGCTGCCGCCACCGCTGCCGCCGCTGTGCTTGTTGTTGTCGCCGTCGCCTTGCGGAACAGTGGCGCAACGGGCGTGCCCGACGAGCTACTCAACGGCGTAATGAGCGTATTGTTCAAGCTGCTAGCTGGTATATTCTTGATAATATTTACAGCAGAGGCGCTGCTCAGTGGTGTGGTGGCCACACTAGCCACACTCTGATTGGGCACTCGCTCCTCGACAATGTATTTCTGTACTGCGGCTGTAGCGGGTGCCTTGCCGCCGAGATTGTTAATGGACGTCGCTGGATTGGCAGCCGATTGCTGGTCATAGGGCAAGAGACGAACAGCTGTATTGGGCACGGAAGACAATTGCTGCTTGTCGATTAGATTGATCTTCTTCGGCGTCAGCTTGGTGCCAGCTGGCAAAATGGCGCCGCTAGCTGTGGTCCGTACTTTCGGTGGGGCTGCTATTTGCTGAACGCTTATGATTTGTGGTGCGAGCGGCAAGTTTGCCGTTGAGATATTGGCGGACGCTGGCTGCGTGCCACCAGCCATCGGCTGACGTTCTTCTACAATATACTTCTTAACAGGTGTGCTCAATTGCGGCTGTTGAATCGTTTGCGCCGTCGGCGATAATTTCTCTTTGAAAACAATGGGCGAGTTAACAAAAGTACGCGGCGTCGTCGGTGAGAGCATCTCGGGCGGTCCATAGACAACGCGTGCTGCAGGTATCGTTTTTAACTTGGTTGCCGCAACCGATTTGAGCGCCTCATCCAAAATGTATTCCACGTGCGGCTGCACCAAGTGATTGGCATTCGGATGCGCTGTCAGCTCTGTAGTTGTAAGAGACGTGGATAATAATACTTTTTCTTGCTGCTGTGGCTGTTGCTGCTGCTGGTGTTGCTGTTCATGTTCCTGTTGCTCCTGCTGCTGTTGTTGCAGTAGTTGTTGTTGTTGCTTTTGCTGTTGCATTTGTTGTTGAAGCTGTTTTTGTGCTCGTCGCCGACCGCTCTTAGCTGGCTTCGTATTGATCCCGACACCTGAAACGTTGCTATTATTGGCCATCGTGTTCCCGCTACCCTTTTTGCTTGCCAATCGTTGTTTATGTTTCTGCTGCTGCTGATAGAAGTAACGTTGCTGCAATGTGCGCGCATTGGGACGCTGCTCCAGCGGCACCACTTGCCCATCTTCATCCTTGCCACTTAGCTGAGACGGCATCTGCTGCAGCTGCCCCATCTGCCTATCTTGTTGTGTATTCCGCTTTTTATTGGGTTTCGTCTCACTGCTTTCATTCTCCTTGCGCTTCAGTGTGGCCTTCTTTATTTCATTGGGCAAATCGGGCACCTTAAACTAGAATTACAAAATCAATTCAGATTTTCAGATTAGAAATTTGGTACAATAAACCTAAAGTCCGCATATCATTAGAACTCAAACTTTTATAGGAAGCAGAAGTCTAGTTTGAATTTCGCATATTTCACATAATGAAGATATAAAATTATCAAAAATTATAAATGGTTTATAAAATAATATTTTGACTTAATTTATTGATTTAAATTTAAGGAAACATTTTAAATAAATTTCATGACTTAGAATAAATGTTTAAATACATTTAAAATGTATTTATATCTGATTTTTGTCTACAATAATTTTTAATTTTTATATTTTTTGAAAATTTCGTTTTTGTGTCAAGTTATTTATTTAAATAAATCGATCAATATTGATTTCTTATCGATTGCAACATTTAGCCTCTAGCAATCAGCTGCATGTTAGAATGTAAGTTAACAGTTCACTAAGGCTGTTAACTGGCAGCGGCTGTTAACTGGCGATGCAGAGTTGAATTAAATAAAAATTAAATACACAACTGTGCGACAAGTAACATTTGGCACAGACAATTTGCGAATAGAGCAGCAAAACAAACTAATGCCACATTTAAGTCAAGAGCCATGGAACGAATCAATTATGTATTAGCAAAGCTGAGCGGCTACATTTGAATTGGAAGTTTTGGTTTGATCAAGTAAATAAGTTTAAAGTAAATTCTGGCCTGTGTAGGTAGATCTTTAATACTACAATCAAACATTCCACACCAGACTTGGATAAGTCTTAGCTTTACTTCGCCTTACGGCGCACCAGTAGACCAACTGACCCAGACGCAGACTGTACTTTCTCTGCTCAAACATATTTGCACATACATACGTACGAGACAGCAGCCGCGGCACTAGTAAATACTTATGTATATAGCCCCCCTGGTCGAGTTATATAATGCTGGCGTACTCACCGGCTCATCCATGATCACAAGTGGCTCCTGATGTTTAATCATGCCATGCTTAAGAGTCTGGTAGGTTGCCTGTTCTCGAAGCGCTTCGCTTAGATTTGCCCCAGTTTCATTTGGTGGTGGCAGTTTGCTATTTTCCGCATAGGCCTTGGCGGCCAGATCATTGGCCACAATGCTAAGTGCGGTTTGCGGGCTAATTCGTGGCAGCAACGGATACGGGCGACGACCTTCACGTGACCATTCCTGCCATGTGTTCGGACCGCAGACGCTAAAAAAAATTTGGTGTAATACAGTTTAATACATATATATATGTAAAATATGCACGCTTATTTAACAACATTTTACAATTGCTTACTTCTCGGCAATTGTGCATAATTGTTCATCGTTGGCTGCGCGTCGCACCTCCGCACGATGACGTTCCTGTGTTATATGAAACAGTTGGCGTAACTCCTCGAGCAGCTTGGCTTTCGGTTCGCTTAGTGAGCCTTGGGCGCGAAAAACGCTTATTACATGCGAATACGATTCTAGCTCTATATTAACGATTCAAACAAAATGGGCACCAATTAGCAAAAAAAATCGTGATCCACTGAAGCTGAGCTGCTGCTGCGGGTGCTGTATAACATAAAGTGCTTCCTCCTGGCGGTGGCGGCAGCAGCAGCAGAATATCACCTACCAAGTCGACGCAGCATGCCCCGACATTCGTCGCGGGACATTTCCAGCGTTTGCGGCCACATGCTGCGCATTGTTTAGAACGCACTACGTTTGAAGTGCTCCAATCCTCTAATTTGCAACTTAATTTAGCAATTTTCCCAAAAGGTTTTCGCGAATCTTGTAACTAAAACAAACTAAAATTCAGCGTTTGCTGGTGCTGATTTTTTAGTGTTGCAAAGCAATCGATTCCAGTATCGATATAATGCGAACCAACGTTATCATACCTATCGTTAGATTGATGCGCCAACTATCGATACGCGTTGCCATGGCACACCGTTGCCAAAAATTACGTTTTCCGTTTTTGACAGGTGCCACGACATTAGAATTTTTATTCCGTTTTGGTTTTCGTAATTATTTAATGAAATTTCAAAGTATTTGCTTAGAAAATCCATTAGTTAAGCCGAATGAAATAAGCGTTGTTGCTATGAGATCCTTTTAGATACTTTTGATATACAACTTATTTTCTGCAACAAAGTTTTTTATTTTAATTGGTATCTATATGCCAGCAACCCATACTTTGATCAAAATTGATTACTATTACAATTACACTTAAGTTATTGAATGTTTTGAGGTATTTGACCAATTTTGAACAACGAGCAAGGACACTATTTGACATGGGAAATTGACGTGGGAAAATGTTCAAAGTTTATTTTGTTGTAATTAGAGTTGGGAGCGATTCAATGATTCGAGAGCGGATGAATTGCCATATTTTGCCATGCTTTCTTGTTTCATTACTAGAGGTCCTCGTGTTTTAAAGCTTCAACTGCCTCGTTGGCCTAAATATGAATTTCTTTATGTTTATTCAACAAACATATTTCTTTGTTTTTCAACTCACAGATTTAAACCAAAACGATGGCATGAAGAAGCTTATCCGATCGGATAAGTCCATTTCAGAGGTGGGAGAAATTCCATGTAGATGCAAATGCTTTTGCGATATAAATGGCGGAATGTGAAAGCCAATCAATGAACTTGCTATGCTCACATTTTTTGATGCAAGAAACCGGATCATACCAGTCTGCATGCGCTCAACTGCATGATAAACAAACAACCGTTTAATGAAAATACAGACAATTAAATTATGTTAATTAGCTTACCTAGACTTACCTAAGCCCACATGGGATTTATTGAGGACGTTAAGACTGTCAAAGTGTTGTTTGGGTATTGCCAAATAATGATAAGTGGCAGCTGGTCGTTTATCCTTGAAAATAACATATTCGTCGTTTTCAAATTCTAGTTTTGGTGGCGTTCTTTTACCACTGGCTATGTCACAAAAGAGGCATTCAGTTATAGACTGATCATTCATATCATTTCCAGTTTCTATAGAATATTTTATTAATATAAATAACAGCAAGCATGCCAATGGAATTAATAGATGTCTCTTTTTAAAATATATTTTAAAACAAGAAGAGTTGGGTAAGTCCAGCTTGTTAGACATTGCTTTGCACAATAAATAACAATATAAGGATGGGTATTGAAATATCGATATTTTTATTTGGCTTCCACACGATCGATGATTATTAAATGAAACTAATATTCATCGAATTTTTTAAATTAATACAACTGATTTTTTAAAATTGAATATATATTTAACTTTGTGTAATTAATTACAAAAAATACATTTGACTTTTATAGTGTCTTATTTATATTTTGTTGCTATTTGTATATACATAAACATTAAAAGCTCATGCTAAAACCATGTCAAGGGAATGAATCTTATTGGAATTCGTAGAATTCACTGCTATATGTAAATCTTAAGTGCCGGTCCTTGTACTCAGTGATCCAGATTAAGAATCTGAAGGAAAAAATAAATTAATCTCAATTAGGAACAAATAAATACACATTAAACATGTTATAAGCAAGGCCTTATGCGAATCTTCAAATTATAATAATCAAAAACTAAAATATATTTAAATTTCCAAGGTACAATTAGTTTGTATGAAAACAGGAATTTAAAAGTCGTGAGGGCTTCGGAATGCCGCTAATTCTACAACATAGACGAAATTGAAGATATCGATGTATCGATTTAATATTAGAACAAAGATATATTTGTGAGTTTGGCCACAACTTGTGGCCAATAAGTAGCATTTTGAAAATTGTTTTCCAATGCGAAATAAATGTTTAAAAGGCAATCAACATGTTTATACGATCAGCCAAAAACAAATTCGAGACCGTGGATATTGTGCGCAGACTGAAGCGTCTAGTCGAAGGCACACTATCCTCTTACCGGCGTTTGTTTTTGCTTTTATTGTGCGTGTGCATAGTTTTTTATATGCTGCCACCAATGTTTCGTTATCTATTTTTAAGCCCAACAGAGCAAAAAGGTAACGTATCTATCGCGCTTTGTTCTATCATCAATTAATATGTCTTTCTTTATTGTACTTGTATTAGATCCACACAGTATGTGCATGGACGACCGGTTAACGCCCTACATCTTGCAGAACTACGAATATGATGCAAACATACGTCACGTGGCTCCTTTGATGCCGGGCGAGAGAGACTACACGCCCTATGTGGGTAACGGCTATATTGGGATGGAGGTGTCGCACGGTGCGTCATTGAATATAAAACATGGGCGCGCTATGCAGCTACCCATACGCTTCCATCCAATATTGTCCGTCTCGCAGAATGGTGGAAATACAGGCGAGAAAGAGGCAACCGTTGTTGAGTATTTGACTGGAATGGTGCATAGATTTCAATGTTTCTCTGGCTACTTTGCATCCTACACACTGTACGCACATCGCACACAGCCCAACGTTCTTATGCAAGAGCTGCAAATCACCAATACACGTAATACAGTTGAGAGCATTGATCTTATAATGCCTCGCAATCGTTTGCCAAAGTCATCGATGCGCAGCATCCCACTGAGGTAAATCACAAAGTTATTTTCTCATTTATATGTCTTTAACAACTTTCTGTCAATTACAGCGATCCAGCACAAATCGGAATGCTCACATATAGTGCATTGGAAGTTATTTCGGGCACGGTGCAACCTTCGCCAGATGATCCGAGCAAATTGATTGTCGTAAGCATTACAAAGCCGCAACTGGAAACAAAATTGCAGCTGCGTAAACGTGGCACAGTACAAATAATTTATCCCATGATCGTTGAGTACTCCAAGCCGGTAACAGAAAGTCAATTGAAGGCGACCATCGAGAATATCGAACAACATTCAATTCAGGCCATGACTAAGCTACTGCAGAGGCTAAGTGCTAAGGCATCTGGTTCCGGTTCGGTAAACAGCATCAATACGTATCGCCAAGAACATATTAATGTCTGGACAGATCTTTGGGCAACAGGCTTTACGATAAGCACCTCGAAGGCTGAAAATAGTTTAAATGGCGACCGCATTAATGCCACCATGTATGCGGTTCTATCACAAGTTCGAAGCTTTGAGTTTGAAGACATGACTGCCGGTTTGTTCGGGAGCTCGTCCTCCGTGGGCATACGTGAGGATATTGCCAAGGCATTGACTTACGCCGAGGGTTGCTACGACACATATCATACGCTTCAGGCGGAGAATCTTTGGCGGGATATGTCCACGCTAAGTCAACTCAATTCGCTGGTGTCCTCTTGGATGCTTACATTGGAAAAGCAAGGCTGCCACAATTTAATACGTGCCGGTGCTTCGGGCGTCATTCAGGCTATGACCCTTAGTTTTGGTAGCTTTCGTTTTAGCAATCAGCACTTGGAATGCAATATGCATCCTAAATTCTTGCATCGTGACTTTCACTTCAGGCGCCTTAACTATGGCAATAAAACGCATGTCAATGTAACAATCATTGTTAAGGATGATAACAAGGCGGTTATCAATGTGGCACTGGATCGTTCCGATCGCAGCTATTATGCATGCGATGGTGGCTGTCTGGATGAACCAATCCTACTAACGTAACTACTGTATACCATAGAATTCAAGTTACCAGATTTTATATTCGTTTTTCTTGAACAGCCAGAATCGTCGGGAATTTCCGGTTAAATTGACTGAACCATTAACTGCAATATTATATATAACAGAGGATAAGCAACACATGGAGGAAATTCATCATGCAATACACGTGAAGGAAGTCGTGGAGGGTATGGTTTACTGTTTCTATAAATATCAATCTATGTCATTTTTAATTAAAACTCTTATCTCTAGCTCCGGCGCACGAACAGCATCTTATAGCGCTGCATAAACATGGCCATCAATTGGGTGGGCTGCCCGCACTCTTCTGGGTCTCTGTCTGTGCAATAATCGTAGTATTTCATATATTCCTATGTAAGCTAATTATCAAGGAGTACTGTGAGCCAAGCGATAAGTTAAGATATCGTTATAACAAACCGTGATTCTAGTTTTATATATATATATATTCATACATGCATATATATATATATACATATATATATATATATTTACAAAAATAAAACGAAAAAACAAACCATGTAATCAAATTGGTCAGAGAGATGCTGCTAATAGAAATAACTTTTAAACCAAATGCCAGAAATGTTTAACGAAACTATTAAAAAATTGATCCAACTATTTGGGTGGTAAGTAAATAATGTATGTATAATATTAGTATAATTAATATAAAACGGTTTGAATCAAAATGTATAGTATTATTTGCAAGCTAATGTAAGTTTTGTATGTACATTTAAACAATTGGATATATTAGCTCTTTGTAATTATCCCTAGCGATTCTATAAACAAACTAATTGTTATGCTCATTAAATTAACAAAATGACAACTGGGTACATCTGTGTTTGAATAACGCTGCCTTAAGAATACGAAATATACCATTGGTGTTGCTTACTATTTGTAGTAGATCATAGTTGATTATATATCATTAGTGTAGTAAAACGGTTTCGTTATAGTCGTTCCGCTTGAGATAAATATCATTTGTGGTTTTACATGCCGTGTTAACATCTTAACGTTTATCGAACACGGGCATAAACTGATGTTTGATTTTTAAAAGAATTGAATTCACATAGATCCTATTCTTTTCTTTTTGTTTGATGTCTAAACATCTCTTGTATATGATGCTAGTGCGACCTTAACTTTCTATATATAGCACTATCTTTTAGGTGCAATACAGCAGCCACATGATAGTCTGAGATTAAAGCTCATATTCAGTTACAAATAGCTGTGTTAGCAATCTAACTTATCTATGAAACCACACATATATATGTATATATTTATAAATTTATATAAATAACGGTTGTGGTTAACTATAAAATTTTAGAATGCTTTATTTCAACGGCAGACGATTTAGCTTATGTACAGGGTCAGATTGTTGAAAGGCAACTGTTTGTTTGACTTATTCTTAGCTGCATATAATTCCTATAAATGCGCACAGGTACAGCCAAACGTGAATCTCCAGCCACTGATATAATCTATTTGGTTACATTATGGATGCTTTCGGCCAGGTACTCAACATTCTTGCTAGTTACACCAGCCATGGAAATTCGACCATCTCTGGTGAGATATATGCTGTAATTTTGCATCAGGCTGTCTACTTGCTCGGGCGAAAGGCCAGAGAAGCAGAACATACCAATTTGATCCACAATATGCTGCCAGTTACGCGAGGAGCCCAGCTTTTCCAGATTAGTTTTTAGTTGTGTGCGCACATTGATGATGCGATCAGCCATGCCCTTGACATCTTTCAGCCACTGGCTGCGCAAATCGCCATTGTTGAGAATCTCGGCGGCAATGCGTGCACCATGAATTGGAGGATTGGAGTAGAGAGCGCGAATTAGAATCTTGATCTGTGACAAACAGCGAGCTGCCTCTTCCTCATCGGCACAAATTACCGAATAGGCACCAGCTCGCTCGCCGTACAGGCCCATGTTTTTGGCAAAGCTCTGTGCCAGACAGAAGTCATGGCCATCGGCCTCGAAGATGCGCACAGCCTGAGCATCGCCATCGACATTGCCGGTGGCAAAGCCCTGATAGGCCATGTCGAAGAATGGATAAAGCTTGCGCTGCTTGAACACCTGCGACAGCTCACGCCACTGCTCGGTGCTGGGATCGACGCCCGTTGGGTTATGCGCACAGGCGTGCAAGAGCACAATCGACTTTTCGGGTATTTTCTGGCAGGAAAGAGAATTTTGAATAAAACAAGAAGTCGTCTGCTTGAAAATCCTTACCTTTAAGTCCTCAACCATGCCGCCAAAGTCCAGATTGCAATTCTTTGGATTGTAATAGCGGTAACGCTTGACCGGCAGACCGGAGTGCTCAAAAATGGGCACGTGATTACCCCACGATGGTGTTGGCAAGTAAATCTCACGGTTACCCCTCCAAAATTTACTCAAAAATGCACCGCCCACACGCAACGCTCCAGTGCCGCTGACCGCCTGTGTTGTGGCATTGTGCTTAGCCTTCAGCCGATTCGATTGCTCGCCTAGAGCCAACTCAATTGCCTTGTTATAGAACTCGGGTATACCAATGATTGTAGCGTATTCCTTGTCCAGGGATCGATCCACAAGGCGCTTCTCGGCCTGGCAGGGTGCAGAGTATGGATTAGTGATATCAAATGATTTGTGACAACGTGTCGCGTTCACTTACCTCGCGCACACTGGGCAGAACAAAAGGCTTTGTATTGTCGTCACGATAGGCGCCGGCACCGAGGTTGATCTTCTTTGGATTGGTGTCCTTCTTGAAGGCCTCCGTAACACCCAGTATGGCGTCCGGTGGGCCCATTTGTACCTCCGTAAACCATGTGGATCTGAAAGTTTTCGGTATAGAACTCTTCAAGATTATAAAGCGCATGTAAAATCTCTATCCAAACTCCAATCCACATATATCTAGCTAAAAATATTGAGGCTCCAGAATTGACACTTAAGCTCATGTTTACTAATCTCTAGTCAAGTCTCTAATATATATATTATTTTTTTTTGGTTAATTGTTCATTGCCCTCGGATTACTTTTTTGTACTCTATGGACGCTTACCCCCAACTTATCAAAGAATTAAAATAGTTATCTTAGTCCACTTCAAAAAAGTCGCTTTGATTAGTTAAAAAAAAAACTTTGAAAATGGTTGCGTTTGAAAGTCAATTATGACTTCATATATGTGACCTTTCGAACTTCAGATGCATACTGGATTCACATGTATTTTAAGTCCTCACATGCTTATCGCATTTAACTGTAAACACGCGTATGACGTCTAAACCATCCAGATTAATGAGGACTGGAGATAAGCGATTGACTATGTGTCTTTTAAACAAATTTTCCATCGTTTTTGTTTCTGCTTTTTCTCGTCGATAAATATGTAGAAATGGGCATTTTATTTTATCTTTTCTTAAATTTTAATTAAAGTGCAGGTGGTCTTGGAAGTTTCTAAGAATTAAATCAGAATTACTGATATGATATTTAGTAATAGGAGATTGAAGTGTAGGAAAAGAATATGTAACTTTAGAACTGTGTAAGCTAATATGCCTCAATTATGGATTACTTTTAAATATTTACAGCTGCTGCAATATATATATATTTAACCTTCTATTAGATAACAACGTGAGCGTTATGTCTAAAGTATAATTCATATGTGTTTGACAAATGTAGCCACAGTATGTGATCGGAAGTTCCTAATTATCGCCTAAAAATAGGACTGCAGACGTCAGCATGTACTAATGTACCTACATATTATTGAGTACCAATATTAATAACAAAAGGTACCAAAAGAAATAATAAAATGTACCAAATTATACTGAAGAGCCAAGCCGTACCATTTTGGTAAAAAAGGGTACATTTGCACATGTGGCAGCTGTAGCTACAATTACTGCAAAAAAGTTATATTATAAATAAATATAACTGTGTACAGCTTTACTTTACATATGTGTGTAGATGAAAAACTGTATGAAACAGGGAAATAATTATAACTTGACATTCATATTCGTTCTCATAGATGTTCTATTCAGATAAAAACATGTCATACGTACATATAAAAATTCAGATGTTATATATAAACATACGTATGTATGTATAAACATATATACATATAGAATCTATGGAATATTTCGTTGCTCTAGTCAACAAACTTGATATAGATAAATATACATGAATGTATGTGTGTATTTCATGCATAATACAATAGCTCACATAATAAAAACTGACAAACACAACAAACACTAAATTATCCAGTGAAGCGCGTGTACACGCACACATATGTATATAAAAACAGAAGCTTATTCACACGCATGCATGGAGCACAAATAGACCGGCATTTGCAATGACCTTGACAAATGACACTGCATTGCACTGCGACGTGTTACATAGTGCATCAAAAAAGCCTACAACTAACATAACATAGATCGGAACTTACTTGCAACGTAAAACTGCTGGGGCATTGATGGCAATACGGTTTGCAGTCAACAGGCTTCGTTTACAAATTTGCGACATAGTTTTAAATGTTTTAAATGGTATTTAACTAAAAGTAACGTAAATGCGGTCCAAGTGCTGCGTCCACCGCGGCTAAAGTGAATCTAACTAAATTCGTCCAACTGGAATCGCGGAAGCTTTCCGCTAGTGATGTGCAAAAGCAAAGCAGTCATCGCAAAAATCAACATATGTTATTAAGTATTGCGAAGTTTAAACAAAAATATTTAAGAATTTAAGTTGATAAATTAATTTAAGTTGATAAATTAATTTTAAAGCTCCATTAGCAATTCTAGTTGGCAAATGATAGTTCAAACTACAATTATGTTAAATTAACAGTAGCGAGCTTTTTCAAATATTGCGCTATGTAAACCATTGTCTATCGATTGTAAAGCTCCTTTCGATAATTTGGGTTTTGCTTGGGTTGCTATTTCAACTTTTTTCAGTTGTACCCAAGGCATTGTCGCGAGGAAACATGCGAAGTTTCTTGTCGTCTAAGCTGATAATTTAATTAATAAAAGTAAACATCATGTTTAAGTTATGTGTGCTTATCTCGTCGCTATTCTTGGCGCTGCAGCTGGGCTCAGCTCTAGAATTTCAAGATTGTGGCTCAAAGACGGGCAAATTCACTCAAATCACCATCGAAGGCTGTGATACGACAAAGGCAGAGTGTATACTCCATCGAAATACCAATGTATCAATATCAATAGACTTCACATTGGCCGAAACAGCTACATCAGTCATAACCGTTGTTCACGGCAAAGTTTTGGGCATCGAAATTCCATTTCCCCTTAGCAATCCTAATGCATGTGTTAACAGTGGCCTCACATGTCCGTTAGAGAAAAATGAATCCTATCGCTATACGGCGACACTCTCCGTGTTAAACAGCTATCCAAAGGTCTCCGTACTTGTCAAATGGGAGTTGCAGGATCAAAACAAAATGGATATCATCTGCATTGAAATCCCTGCCAAAATACAATAAAATGTGATTATTATAATAAAAAAAATTAAAAATTGCCAAATCTAATTGTAATCTAATTTAAATAAATAAAATATATGAACCTAAATGATTTCGTTTGTGACAATGCTAGCCTCGATTTGCTTTCATTGGCTTCACTTTCTTTGTTTAAATTCTATTGCTTTTTTTTGTTCTGTATGTGATAAGTAAAAGTGAAAAAGTGAAACAGAAATAATCGCAATTCTAATTAGATTATTGCTGCGTTTGACTATATCAGCTAGTAAACATTTTAGATAAACTTTTTGCCGAATATGTCAATGACCTGACAATAGGTAGGTTTTAACTTTAAGTAAACAATTATGTCGTAATCAGCTGCTTTCCATATGCTGAGTAGAAATTCTTTATCAGCGTTTAGCTACTGTCAAATATGTATCATTGAGTTATGCAGCCACAACAAAGAAATTGTTCAACATATGGTAATTCACATTTATATATATATGTATAAATATTTAATATAAATTAATATTCTTAAGTAACATAAAAATACAAAAGTCGGAATAGTGTTAATCGATTGTTGCGTTCCGACTTCGACGATAGTCCACATCAAGCTAATAATCGTCGTGAACTGATATTAAAGCAAAATGACCTTTCGTAATCTTACCAAATTCAAATTATTTAAATTTAAAAAATTACACAATACTGCCTACGAATATAGATTACTCGGAAGAATGCGTAAAACAAGACCACTACTGCTTAAAAAATTGCTTTTATGATTCAGTTTGGTGTTGGCAAAATAAAATAGTAATTTTTTTATTACCCGCAATAGTTTTAAACGTTGTAATTTCCCTTACGATGTATGCGACCGATTCGAAAAATACTGCAGTGTGTTAATTTTTCGTTGTTATTCAACACTAAAATATCGATAAACTGACGTAGCCCTAGATTGCGGCGTCGTTTGAAAGCAACTGTAAACTATTACCAATACAAGCGTAATGCCGAAAGGAGAGGCATAAAAGAGACCTGAATAACTAAGAAACAATCAATAATTAAGTGAAATTTGTCATATAGTGATATATTGTGGACGTAAAGGACGTATTGCTTGTTGCTGTGTTGAATAGCGGTGAGTGTTCCTCGATTGTAAACAGCATTGTTAACTAAACTAGTTTCCCGTTTGGGCTGAACAGATCATGACGTTACCGCGTTCCGAGACGCCATTGCGTCGTTCCGCGGTCGGTAGCCATCGTGAGAGTATGCTGCAGGATCGGACGACCATGGTAAACGACGATGAGGCGGAACGTCGCGAGGCGAGACGCCGCACGCTGCTGTTGCAGCAATCGCGACCCCGTGATAGCAGCCTCCTAGAGTCCATCGAGGAGAATGAGACGATTAAAAAGTGTTTGGAGATATACAATTGCAATAAGCTCAGTCGTGAGAATGCTTGGAGTTTGTCGTTGATCGATACGTTGTCCAATTTGCTGGATCATCACCATAAAACGCTCAGCAACTTTAAGGTAAGTGCTGCAGCTCAGATTGCGTGCAATTCTAATTGGTGATTGTTTTTGATCTTTCAGATAGCGGGTTCATCATTGGAGGCCTCTTCAAAGGTGTATGGCTTGCGCGTAGATTCAATATATTTGGATGCGATGCGTATGTCAGCTGGCCTCAATGCACGCACGCTCACTCAGCAGCAACTGAATGCAGCTGCTGCCGATGATAACGATGACAATGGAAATGTCGGCCAGGTTGAAGGTGGTGGTGACGCTGATGGTGCTGAAGCAGCAACAGGACCGGCGCCAAAGGCAAAGAAGCGTCAACGCAAAGCAGGTTCCACGATAACTAAGAATAAGGAGACATTGAATGCGCGTTTGGATACTGCGCCTTTGCAGGATCCTGTATTTGGCAAACTAAACTCTACAGTGGGCTCCATAAATGCCTCCAATCGACTAATGAACAACATCTTGCCCACGAAGGACTCTGAACTCCGATTGCGTACCAACTATCGCTTCTGGCACAACCCAAATGCGACCGAGCAGATAGACGATTATACGTTAGTAAATAATGACGATAAGAGCACACAAGCGATAGTAGCCAGCGAGTGGGTTAAAAAGATGCGACATTACTATCAGCAACATCTGGTTCTGCGGCCGCTGCACACTGGTTATATTATAAGCGATGTGCCCAATCCGAGCAATGCTAACGATCCGATCGCAATGCCGATAAAAGTTGACGACGATGGTATAGATAATGCGGATGATTTCTATGAGAATCCACGTGAGCTTTCGATGGCCTTTGACATTAATGCTGAGTGTGAGCCGATGCCAGATCTCAATGCGTTGACAGCGGCAACCGTGTTGGAGATGGACTACAATGAAATGGACGAGTTGACAACGGAGGAGCGAACAACGTTGCAGCATTGCCGTGTCCTCCGAAAACAACCCGTGTTAATTGAGGACTTGCGTCCGGTCGATGGCAGCTCGAAGCTGGAGTATTCATATCGGCCTATGGATCAGATCTCTCAGTTCTGGGCGGGCCCATCACATTGGAAATTCAAAAGAACACGCACAACCAATACCTTTGCACAAATCAATTCACAAGATAATATAGGAAGCAAAAACAGTAATGCGGCTGCGGCACGAATACGCCGTGCCGCCGCACAAGCAGCCAAGCGACGCAGCAAACAAATCAACTTTGGCCACTGCACAGAGAGTCTATTCATAAAGCTGGATGAGAACACAAAGTTGCGTAAGGCTAACTATCAAAAGCGCTGGGATCCGCGTAAATTGCGTCTGCCCACAAAGTATGACTTCGATGCGAACTACTTTTATAAATATGATTATGCGCCCAGCATTAAGGTGAGCCGTCGTTTCGGAGTTCCGGATGATGATGTTGATAATGATGAAGATGACATGAATCGGGATATGAATGCTGTCGGTGACGATGCTGGCGATGATATTGACCTCTTTGATAACGATGACTTCCAACAAAATTCGTCTCGTTTGCCCAATGACATGAATGTGAGCAATTTCCAAAACGCTGATCCTGCATTAGGATCGTTCCTGCTGTCTGGTGAACCCAACACTTGTAATAATTTGTCTCAAGCGAATGATACGGTTCTTGAGATATCCACTGAGTTCCAAGGAGCACCCTCGCAGGTGAGTAATACAAAGTTTTTGAAGTAGATTTGATGATAGGCAAAAAAGTATTATCTTTCAGATTTGAAAAGATAGATAATCTTGTAAAAATGTTGTATAATTTGACTCACTTCTAATCTCTCGTATTCGCATCTTTACCAGGTCACCAAGGTGATTGTGCCGTTTGCAAAACGTGCCAAGGTGATTGACATGAAGAATCTCAAGCGCAGCTGCAATTCGCTCATACAAAAACAATTGCTGAGCACTGCCGAAATGGAAGAGGACGAGATGCCCGCACCTCCGAAAGGGAAGCAGGAGCATTATGCCAAAGGTATGGCCACCTTTAAGGAGATCTACAAACAGCTGCCCGCCATGCTCACCGCCAAAATGTCCGATTCGCTGTCGCCCTCGGTGGCACTTTATGCAGTGCTTCACTTGGCCAACGATATGAGATTGCGGCTCATACCACAGGATGATTTTGAGAACTTTACAATTAGACAAATAACGGACTAACACATATCCCAGTTGGCGACCATTAGTTATACATATATATATATATATATATATATTTATACGTAAAGCAGTATTTTAAACAATAACTAATTCATACTTTTATCAATGTTAACTGCTTTAATTTCTTAATGTTTGTAGTGCTAAGTCGTTCGACTATATCGAAGAATCGTCATTATTTAGCTAAGATAAAAAACCTTACCCTGTCTATATATGTGTATATTGTGCGGCAAATAAAAGTAGTGCGAAACAGAGAGAAACGATGTATAAATTAAGAAGTAACAAAAGTAATTGTGCATCATTGCTGCACGATGAAATGAAAGAAATTTTGAAATTGTAATCGTAATACAAGTTCCCAAATGTTCATATATTGCTTAGATATTTAAAGAACACATTTCGTTTATAGCAATGCCAGATTTGTAATCAAATATGAGATTGCTGGACCACAGTGTAATGAGGGCATGAATATGCAAATCCAATTATGAGTGAATGAAAGGATGTGCAGGAGCTCCACTTGCTGCATGCTCGGAATGTGCTTGAAGCCTTTGGATTATGCCCCAACTCAGCCTAGTTGTAGCAGCAACATGTTGTCTTCAGCTCGTAAAGCAACCCAGTTAAATTCTATTCAAAATAGTTCTGTACTATGTCTGATGATTATGTTGATGTCAACTTTAATCATAGTAACGTACGTAAATTGTACTTAATTTTTTGGGAATGCTTATAAGCTATAGACTAGATTTGCTCTGCTTGCTGTTGTTTATGTTGTATTTCCATCTGTAACTGACAACATTCATAGCAGCTCAACTTGTTCGTTGCTGTTGCTGTTGTTGTGCCCGAAACTTAAGTGAACAGACGCTGGAAGCTGATGACAAAACGGAAGCCAAGCATTGTTGCAAGTCGTTCTGCTTTGTTTTAGTTATATTATACCCTGTAAGAAGAGCTTTAGAGATGAGTTGATACCATCTTGCCTACAGTATGTGATGCTTGAGCCTGCATCACTCTCATTTCTCATATGTTCAGTTACAGAGTATGTTTAGGTCGAGCATTAATTGTGATATTGTCAACTCTGTTGTGCTTGTTGCCATTTGCATACGCTGGGCTGAGCGCGACTTTAGACGCGCCTTTCACACACTTTGCCATCTTGTTTGTTGTTGCTCTATGTATGTGTGCATTAGTGTGTGTGTGTGTCTGACTGCCTAAGTATGTGTTTCTGACACATTTGTGCTGCATGTGTGTTAAAAAGTTCGTTGTTTACTGAGCGCTTTTAGCAAGCGCCGCGAATATGTGTGTCTGCACTCATGTGTGTGCGTATGTGTGTGTGTGTGAGTAATTGCATATTATTTGCATAAATATTTGCTAAGTACAAAGTACAAAACAACAAAAGCAACAATAGCATGTGAGAGAAAGAGAGAGAGAGAGAGAGAGAGAGGGAGAGGAAGATAACGTAGCGTAACATTTAAATAGCTTCATCAAACTTTTGATATTAGCAGCTAAAAAGTTTTATTTAACACATTTCTGACCTCTCTCTCTCTCCCTCTCTCCCTCTGCTATACGCTAAGGTCTCGTGCGAGCACCTGTGCAACATATTTTAATTGCATTTGCGATTTGTTTTAGATTATTCAAGTATACTTTGGAGATTTTCAACTTTTGAAAGTCAAATAATTGCTATCAGGATTGTCTTCTAAGGCTTAAATCTGTAATGACATAATTGTTCTAAGGAAATTACAGGGTATATTGTATCTATGTGTTGATCAGGTATTCTTTTGTGACAAAATTCATAATTTAATAAGCCAGAATAATGTTTTTATAACTAAATATATAAATTGTATACAGATTCAGATACCCTGAATACAGGGTATTCACTATATAATTGTTTTTTTTTTTAGTTTATATATATATTCTTGCAAAAAGTAGAGTGTTTTTAGCTAATTATGCTCTTTGAGTCAGTGTATGAAATTTATAGGCTATTTGTCTTCATGTCATAATATAGGAACTTTCCGCCCCTAGAAGTATAGGGTATATAGTAAATCTATATCTATAGTTATTAGAGTTTTTGACTCTCAGCTAATGTTTTTCATACGCATTTCACTCATCTCTCAATCAGAAAGATGTTCCTATTTATCATGCCCACTTTACAATCGAAGAAAAGTGCAGGGTATATATTATAATTTGCTGGTTGATTATTAATTTGATCAGCCAATTATAATATTCATGTTTATTCATAAAACAGTGTATAGTGGGCTTTGTTAAGCCGTAATTGAGTGCATTTCTGTGTTGTCAATGTCAAATGCAATTTACGACTCGAAACAAATGTGGTTTATGTTGAAGTTAATAAGGATATGTTGTGAAAATTTAACACCCACAGAGTCATTTCCAGCTGAAAGGTTAATTATCAAGAGCAGGCATAAAAGAGATGGGGAGAGAGAGAGCGAGAGGGGAGGGTCTTAGCCAACATATGTATGTATGTATGAATGTAAGTGACACCAGGTGAAGGTGGCTAACGAAATTGCTCTCTATGTTTGTCTTGCCATGGCCATAACAATTCCGGAATGTTGTTAGCCACGTTTTTAGCTTAGCCCTTACAACTGTGACTTGTTTGAGGCTTCTGCTTTTATTTTCATGGTTATGATCCTTTGCATTTGTTGCTTAATTGTCTAACGAGTTCGTGGCTTTCAAACTTAATAATTGCTCGGCTGCATTTGCTGCAGTTGAGCCGGCAGTAAAACTTTGCCACTTAGAAAGGATTTTCCTCTTTTCACGAACTTTGAGTGTGCGTCAGTAAGCCAGTATTGAAAGAGATATACACGTAACACAGCTTCACAACAAGCCCAACTAATGCTAGAAACACTAGATTTGTAGTCAAAATTGGAGCTTGTTGGACCGCAGTGTAATGAAGTCATGAATATTCCAAACCAATTATGAGTGAATGAAGTGTATTGCAGGAGCGTCCCTTGCTGCATGCTTGAATTGAGCTGGTTGGAGCTTTTGAATTATGACTGTTGAGACAGCTGACAGCCTTCATCTGCAGATCTTTCAAATAGTATCCTTTGGAGGCAATAAATCCTTAGTACATATCCTCTATTGCCAAATAGGTAACAATAATAACTAATAGGTAGACAGAGACCTCTGAGGGTCGACTGACGAGGTCAGTCCTTACCGTGTATTATATATCTGATAGTACACATCAAGAAATCAGATGAATTTCTAATTTGAAGAAATTATTTTGCTTGCTCCACCGAGTGCAAAGTTGCCCATCAGCTTTTAAATCTGGTAACTAGCAGACGAACTGAAAACATGAAATTTGTATGTTACTTATAGTTACTTAAAGCACTGAAAACTGGTAAAAGAACCAGGCGCACAGACATAAGCAGAAATAAAGACGATTTTTTTTGTTTTTTTTTTTTTTATTCGGTTCGTTTGTGGCAGCTTCTTATTTCAGACTCTGTCAATAGTACTTTTAAGTCTAAGCCTCAACTAGTGAGTGGGCTCATATGCCAGTACATGCGTCTTTAATTCTAGACTCAAATTTATGTAACTTATTCAGCCTTCGCCTGTTTTGTAGATAGCCAAATGATTTGCGAGCTGGCTTGAATGCGCTGCCAGTCTATCCGCGTATGTGGAGCTGTGTCGCTCAATGAGTTCTGCAACAGTAGGAATTGCTAGTTACCTAATATCACTGAGTTACTCAAAAAACCAGTTAGAGTTCAGATGAATTTTACATTTTCTGTTGCATACATTTAGGCTGAATCTTAAATAAATTCGTTGGATACGCTCACTCGAATGTAAAACTTCTGTTGCATAACCTCGGGCGGCAGTTTTAAATAAATTCTACGAAACACCTATAACTTATGTGAAAGCTGTGCCTGTTTGAATTCGCATGGATCAATAGCGTCATGTGTCAACCCGGACTCTCCATAAATAACCATAATCCTTGCCTCTGACTGAAATAGAATTGGGTTTGTAAATAAATAAACAATTTTTGTTTTGTTTTTTTTGTTCACTCCCTACAGAGTTTCATCATTTATTATACTGTATTTTGTAAGGTATATAGTATGTATTTGTTTATATCGGGTAAAATATGTTTTGCGTGCATTCAGCATTTTATTTACATTAATTTTAGTTCATGTTATTATATGGTTATATGCATATACATATGTGTATATGTCCGGTTCGACAGCTTTCCGAAAGTTGCCTTCCTAGTATCGCCTAATATATTATAATTTGTCTGATATTATTTTAAAATGTTGTTTTCTTTTATAAGTAAATCAAATGCAGTTAATAACGTTTTCATACTTTCAATGATGGTGTAAATAAAATATACAAACGATTTTGTTAGATTCCAAAAATTGTTTTCGGTTATCAACGGTCGTCGGATTTTTTTAATTGAATTTGTATTTTTAGTAAATATTTTTGTTGTTTACATTTTATTTTGTTTTTGTTTTTATTTTGAAAAATACATCAATAAAAGTTCAATACATTTAGTAGACAAATATTTATTCATAATATATATATATATATATGTTTAATGTTTTCCACTTTAGTTTTCATATGTGTTTGCAGTATATATGTAGTATATATAGTATTAGATAAATGTATATAATTCATTTTTAGCACACAGAATATAACAATTGTTGCAGTAATACACCTTTCGGGGGCCTTTAAATGTTTTTTAAACATTTTGTTTCATAACTGTAATAAAATTTGCTTAAAATTTAAACAAAATATAATACGATTTTACATCATTTTTTTATAATTTTAATTTTTAAATAAGTGTTTGTTTTTCATAACAAATTTGCGCTACATTTTAAAAAGTGTTTCCATATCCATTATATACATTTATTCCTTTGTATTTGTTATTACGATTGACGTGTTAGAGAGGCAATTTAATTGAGCTTGTTAGGATAAGGACCTTTGGCGAACATGAAGTTGCTTAAAATAAATTATTGAGAGGAATAAAATATATTGAGATATGTATGGGGAAAAAAAAGAACAAATTGAATTTAGAAAATTAAAAAAAAATATTTTTAGAAATTTTAAAAATGTTATAAAAGTTTTTAAAACAATTATTGTAAATTTGAATTTTTTTTATTATTTTAATTTATATAATTTTTAAAGCAAAAAAATTGTTGAAAATTTTAACATATATATAAATAATTCATTTATACATGATAAATTTAATATTTAATATTTAACAAATATATTAAATATTAAAAAGTTCACATAAATCATAATATATATTTCAATAAATTTTTGCATTTTTTTTTTATATTAAAAATTAAGTTTATTTGATTTAATTTTTTTCACATATAATATTTTGACATAAACTTTGGAAAGTTCATGGGCTAAAATGCCTACGCAATTAAGTAGGTGCACAAAATTATAATGTACACACGTAATCGGTTATGTATATATATATATATATATTTAAGTACATATATATTTGTATACGGCTTATATGTTTGTATTCTTTAGAACGTGTCCTTAGCTCCCTGCGCTTACCGTAAATGCCTGCAAAAACTGTCTCTCAGACGAGTGTTTCAAATCGTTTGCGTTTGTGTTGGTGTGTGTATTGTGTCTCTGTGTGTGTGTGTGTATTGTTATATTTTCCGCCCAGTTGTTGCTTAGAGTGTCCTTTGATCATATCGTTTTATTTGTTCATTTAGTTCTGCGACTTGGGCGCCACAGACGCTGTCTCAGCGGAACCAGCAGCAGCTAGTGGCATTTGCTAGAGTTAAGAAAGGGAGATGTCATTATGAAAATGTAAGTTTCAATTTGGCTTTGCCCACCTTCTGTTCGGTGGGCGCCTTGCCAGTGCTGCGACCCCAGCGCAAGCGCATGGGCTTGCGAGACTCGCGCTGAAATTGATATTCCGCATTGTCCTCATCCTGATCTTCATCCTGATCCTCGCCCGATTCTGCGCCAGCTGAGTTGTCATACTGCTGCTGCAGGGCCAACAGCAGGCGTGTCATCTCTTGCCACTTCTGCCAGTGCCGTTCCAATTGAGCTCGTTCACGCTGTGAACGAAGATGAAGATTGAGGTAAAGTAAAGATGTAATTAAAAGATCTAAAAGATCTACGCTCCTCTCTCTTCTTAATATCGCCTCTCTTTGCGATTCTCATATGCTCATTTTGAGTATAAATACTAACTGCCCTCCCTTCCCTCCTCATCCTACCTGTTCCTTCTCCAGACGATTATTGCCCAGATCTAGAATGTTGCTGATCACGCTACGTCCCCAGCGCAAACGCTGAGGCTTGCGCACGGCACGCTCGAAGCCCGCATCGTAGTCTTCTGAGAGGTCGGCATCATAGCCAGCGGCAGGCTGATTCAGCAGCTGCTGTTGATTGTTGAGAGTCAGTTCACGTTCGAGCAGTTCGTCGTAGGCTGTGCGCCGCATCTGTGGCAGATTGGGATCGCTGCGACGACCGAAACGCAGACGCAGCGAAGGCGATCGTATGGGCTTCTGGTTGACATCGCCGAACCAACGTTTCTCCACGATGTTGTTCAACATGTCCGGATCGCTGCGACCGAAGCGCAAGCGCAACGAGGGCGAACGCTGCGCCTTGCGCTCCACCTGATGATTGGGAAAGACAACGGGTCCGGCATATTCTCGCTGCAGCAAATTGTCATAGAGACTGCTGATGGGAGCACCTGCAAGAGGTCAGAGAACATGGATTAGGCATGCGGATTTGCCATCAGGGCTATGCTTACCTTGAAGCTCAGCGCTGGACAGCATGAAGAGACTCAGGCTGAAGAGCGCCAAGGCGCAGCCGTAGCTAAGCTGAGACTTCAAGTACATCATGTTGAAGACTCTAGAAGAAAATTTACGATATATTAAGAAAAATTGCTTCTCCTCAGAGTACACTTAAATAATTTCTCTCAAAATTTCAGCTGCATCAAATTTAAGTAGACCTTAATGCTTGCAATTAGCTTGAGCTCTTAAGAGTCCTTCACAACCCTTTGCACACTTCATCTTATCTACTTTTACTTCTCTTTTTTTTTGCTCCTAGCTGATCTGATTGCCCATTGCCCTGACTGCCTTTGACTGCTTACAATTCAATTTCCGCTTGCTGCTGCCGTCACGTATACGCATGCTATCACGTATACGACACGTTGTATCGCTTGCAACCCTCAAAGAAAACAGAGTAAAAACAAAAACAAAAAAAAAGAAGGAAATAATTCGCATGCACTTAACACCCTTCGGTGCCGTCGATGCTTATGCATTTAGAATTCCGCTGCGGGTGCTGGATTTCAGTCTTTCAGCCTTACAGCCTTACAGCCTTTCAGCTGTTGCCGGCAGGAAGTCAAAGTTTATGACAATTTTTTTGTTGTATTTCTCAATTTTTTAATAGGGGTTGCTTCAGTGCAATGTGTGCCTATTGTTGTAGCATTTTGTATGCAGATTATATTTTGGGGTAGCTCGCTCTGATGGCAGTGTATGTAACTGATATAACGGGGCATGGCAGATGGCATATTGCATCGATATTGTTGATTAGTTGATGTTGCGTCGTATTCATCTGCAGTCTATCTATATGTTTTTCCAACTGTTTGTCTTCATGTCTTTCTGTCCGCCTGCTTGTCGATCTATCCCTTTGTATATGCATCTATCTATCTATCTGTCTATCTCTCCGTCTATCTGCCATATGCCATCCATCTGCCTGTCTGACCGTCCTTATGAAAGCTTCAATCTAGATACATATTAGAGCTAAGCTCTTGACGCTTTACCCGAAGATGCTTCTATACCACATTATAAATTATATTATAAATTATAGAATTATTTCTGTGCATTTATCTTATGTTTTAGCAGTTGGATTAGCCAAATTTGGTATTTGGATTGCTTGGATATAGAATTTGCTATATATACAATTTTATTAATAATGTTATAATAATTAGTCAGAATTTATTTCGATATTAATTCAGAAAAATCTTCAAAGCTCTAGCTTTCATCTAAGAGTACACAATATTTTTGAATTTCTCTCTTTCTAGTGCCCTCAAATTTAAACAAAAAATTATATTCGAAGCATAAAAGCTAGCAGCATCTAGGCATAGACAGCATGTTAATAATTTATTTAAGCCTCAGTATCTTTGAGCTTTATTGAGCTTTGAGAAGAGGCGTGTCCCTTGTGCATGATTTCCTTGGAGTTCAGCGGGTATCTGCTAGTCAGGCACTGCCATCAGGAGACTTCTCTCTCTCTACTATTCTACTTTTTTTGCATGTGCCGCTGCATAGGCAGCTTATTTGTTATCATTATTCAAGGAGTCTCACACACACCCACACACGCTTCACACTCACTCACACACACACCTGCACTTCACACCTGCCTTTGTCACATTGTTGCTGCATTTTTCCCTTATTTTAGCCTCTGGGCGAAAGTAGGCAAAGTCTGTGGCACTTGACTTGTCTACACTCTGCAGCTACTTTATAGTGTATGGCCGACTCGGCCCGGTTATCTTATAAATAATTCAATTGCCTTGCATTACTATTCCTCTTCTTCCGCTTCTACTCAGTTTTTTGCCCGCTTGTAAAATGAATTTATGACGTTTGCAATGAATTACAGTGCAGAGCGCAACTTTGCGCGAGTTTATTTACGCCACAAGTTTTTTGCATATGAATTTTAATATAAATTCATATATGTGCCCCAATGCCACGCCCCTTGTCGCTGTTACGTCTTGACGGTGGCAAAAGCGTGCATTGAAATTGCATTTTTATTGATTCGTTTAGGCTTTAATTGTGGCCGCAATGCGATTCTGTGTAATAAATATATATAAATATATATATGTGTGTGCGTGTGAGTGTGTAGCACACACACACTGTTAGTCCATGACATCATTTACCACGGCCTTCGTTTGTTTTTGCCTCAATATGCAATAAATTGAATAAAATAGTACAAAAAAAAGAAGAAGACATGGATACATTGAACAGGTGCGCCGTTCACCTAACCTTTTGACAAGTTGACCTCTTGAAAAACCCATTAGATTCGAATGGCATATGAGTATTTCGATGTATCTATGTCAATATTTAGTATATATGCGTTATACAATGGAAATATTTGAAATTTATGTGCAGCATGCCAAAGGGAAAAACTTAGTTCAACTGAAATGCTACTGTACAAATACTTTTCTATATAGATAGATTTTTTGACTCGCATTTTGGATAAATAAATTCCTAAATCCTTTATCTAGTTTATGAAAATAGTTCTGTTATATAAATTCTTCATTCTTCAAGCTAAGCGCTTTTATCTAGTCGAAAAAGTTTCCAAATGAACTCGTTTTTTTTTTGCAGTTAAGGTTCAGTGTGGCTTAATTGTTTGGCCAAAATTGAGGTAATAGCCATACAACTTGTATGCCCAAGAGACCTTAAGCAATTTTTCACCTGAAGTCTAACTCAATTTGTTGACTCAAAGTTTTGCCCAACAATCTGTTAACTTCTTCTTCTCTGCTCCCCTTGCCGCTTGCAGGAATTGTCTCTCAATGGTGTTGTAGAAATCAGAGCGAATAAATTCTCAATAAACTTCCAAAGAATCTGCCTATGTTTAATCTGTCGGCCAGGCAACAGCAGCAGCAGCAGCAGCAACAGCAGAAATTGTCGCAACATAACTTGACGGCAGCTTGCAGTGACACGCCCACACGATTGCGAGTGGGCGTGCAAATACTTTGCACTACGTGTGAATGAAAATTCTCAATTTCTGCTTTTTTCTGTTATCAATTCAATATAAACGAGAAAACTGAGAGAATTTCAATTGACTGGGCGAAGCAGCTGCCACCAGAACAGAATTTAATTACTGAATAGAAATTCGCAGAAAATATACTGAGTATTAATATGTCAGGAATTTCTTCACTAGTTTATGAATGAAATGGATTTCCACATTCCTAGAATATGTCTTGAATATTATAAGCAATATTAGGTTTAATAGTAAAAGTAGGAGGAAGGTTGCAGCCGGGCGACAGCGACAGCATAATACGAGTTCATGGCTCAAAATATTTGAATTTGTTTGGTTAATCTCAAGGGGGAGACTCTAGTAAAGTTACTGTCAAGTTTTGGAGCTCTAGGCTCCTAGTAGCTGTAGAGGATCCTCATAGTAAGTGTGAGTGTTCCAGCTCTAAGACTGTGTACCATGTCCTCATGGTCTTTATTTATTTTATAAATTATAAAATATTATTTATTCAAAATAAACTTTTTATAGAATTTTAAAAAATTAGTCTTCAGGTAAGCTTAGCCTTAAAAATGCATTTAAATAAAACTTGCTAATTTATAGCTCCTTAGAGACACTTTTGGGACATAAACTGTGGGCAGAATAATTTCAGATATTTATTTTTTGGTTTGGTTTGGTTGTTAATATTTGTCAAGTTTTCTGCTTGAAAGAGCGTTTGTCTCTGTTGTCTCTTGTGAATAAAAAACTACGCACATGTCCCGGTCAAGCGAAGCCCGACGAGCATCGACTGGCACAATGGGGCGTATGATTAACGCCTCAAGCCACAAAGTAGGCAAAGCCGCAACAGCAACAAAGTTTAATCAAATACGTTGATAAAACACAAAAGATTACGCCGCTGCTCTTTCCCTTGCAGGAATCTAATAAGGCTTTTCGGAACGTAGCAAGGTTCGGTGGTTTCTGATTCTGGTTCGGGTTCGGGTTCGGGTTCTCGACTCAGCCAAAAGGCTACCAAAACAGGCCATCTAATGGGTTTGTCAAAACGCTTTAATGCCAATGGCCGGGGTGCTATAAAGCAGACACCAACAACAACAACAACATCGACGACGACGACGACGACGACGTGTTTTTTGGCCAACCAACCACAAATGACCTTTCGGGGACAACGAGAATAAAAATTGTTAAATAAAAGGCAAATAAAATGTGTGACAGAAAAGAGCGAGAGGAAAAATGAAGAAGAAGCAGAGCTAAAGCCTTGTCAATGTCGTGGCCGAAAACAACCTGTTGTGTGCGTGTGTGTGTGTTAAATGTATTAGTTTAGCTTGACCAAAAGGCTATTTAAACGTGGTCAATGTGTTTTTACGCCTGACTAGCAAATGCGAGAATATTACACTGCACAACAAAACGTTGATAGAAATGTTATTTAAAAGAATGAAAATAAACAATCAAAAATAAAATGAATCAATAATTAGTTAAATAATTAATGATCAAATAAATACATAAATGTAAAATTAAAAATTAATAAGTACAAAAAACCTATGTATAAGTAAACTAAATTTAAAATATATATATTTAAATATTATTAAAGAAGAAGGTATAAAAAATATCTAAATTTAATATGCCTTAAAAAACTAAATGTGAAAAATATTTAAATTGAAAAAAAAAAATAAATAAATATAGAACTTGAAAAAAAAGATATATATATATATACCTTTTTTTTCAAGTTCTATATTTAGTTTTTTTTTTTAATTTAAATATTTTTCACAAATATATATAAATATATATACATATATATTTAAGATATAAATTAATATAATATTCATAATAATATATAATAAATTTTTTTCAGTGATAATAAAAGTTTTTAGCAAAGCTTATAAATAAACAAATTTGTTGATTATTATTTTTTTTCATGTATTTAAGAACAAATTCTCTAGTTTTAGTAAAACTTTTTTTTTTGGCTCAGTGTAAAGTTGGCTAAATAAAAGCTTTGCGGTTTTTTTTTTGGGCTGTCCAATGAGGCGTGATTTAAGGCTACTCAACGTTGAACAATGTGTTAATAGCTTGTTTACTATATATGTATATATATATACATTTATAAGATATACCCTTCGATTTGCTTGTTTCCTCATCATGTTCAATTTGGCGCACAATTGGCAGCT